GAGATGGTTTCTAGGAAAGATAGCTTTTCTTCGAAGCTCCGAAACGCAAGGAACGCAATGCCTAACGTCCGTCATCCCTTATCCCTTGGATTGTGATCCACTGTACTACGCTGGCTCGCGACAGAGACCAATGGGAGCTTTGCTGGGGTCTGCACGAGGAAATCGATGACCGACAGGACAACGTTTATATCGGCAAATAACAGAGCAAGTTCTTTGATTTTTAATCCCGTAGAAAGATAGCTAACCAACCCCCAAAAGATCAGCCAAAAAGTCAACATTCCAAGAAGCAATGAACAATAGTATGTAAAAGTATGAGCATACTTCACCACAAAACCCACTCACCGTTTCCTCTCCGCAAATGTATGCACCAGCTCCACGGTGTACGAACACATCGAACGAGTATCCTGTTCCAAGACAATCTTTACCGAGGTATCCAGCCTGAAATTATCTATATCATCGAAACTTACATAAAGAAACCAGAACCATTATATGGTGCTTTTTGAGAATGAACCAAGCTTTGAAAATAATTAACAATCAATAATTTCGAATCAAAAGGTGGAACGATTGATTATGTTTCGTGAAGAAGCGAGAATCGAACTGCCTCGTTTCACATTTGTTTTAAAGACGCACGACGGACGGACAAGACGGAAGCTGACAAAATTTCTAAGATACTGAGAATAATAGGCATGCCAAGTGCTAATCAAATACTGAGACTTTTAGGTGCAGCCTTGGGGAAGAAACGAAAGGTTCCAATGAATCGGAAATACTACGACAATTCGAACAAAATAATGATCCTGAAACAAGGTCGATATCATCTCAGAGTCCCTTCATTGTTTCCCGTTGTAGCTAGAATAAATCATTAGATTGCGACACAAAGACAAAACACAAATAACGTAATTCAAATTGGCAGACTGGAAGCAAGTGTGGACGAAAAAACTCGAGCTTCTCCAAAATTTCCAGAATATGCAGAAAAAAACACGCTTGTCAAGTGGATTGTACAATTATTGAACAAATGCTCTAACCTTGTATGCCTCGTTGATGACCTCTTGAAGAATGCAGGACTCATTGTAAAACTCGCCACGGATGTAAATATAAGCTGCGCGAGCTCCCATCGCCACACCAGCAATCAAACATCCTTCGATCAACTAAACAAATTCAATTCCAATTGAAGGAAACACAAATCATACAAAATACATAATTTTTTTCTAAATTTCTAAATGAAAGAAAAAAATCACAAACTTTGTGTGGGTCGTGTCGCATAATTTCGCGATCTTTACAGGTACCTGGCTCTCCTTCATCAGCGTTCACAACCAGATATTTCGGGCTAAAAAGAGTGATCAATTGCTAGAAACAGTGCCCAATTTTCAAAAAAAAAAAAAANAAATAAAAACGATGCGTTTGTTGTGCCCATCCGGTAAATTGACTTAGGAAGTTGTTTCGCTGGTAACTATTGTCCAGGTAAAAGACGCAGCAAAAGTTCATCACGCATCCACGATATGGCTCGAAAAATGTGTACCACTAGCAAATATTTGGTAATTCAGTATTAGTTAGTCTGTCTTTATAACCATGTACTTGCCTTGAAAATAATAGAAGTGCTTGTAGTAAAGTGATAAAGCTCGCTCGATTTAAACAGAATCGAACTTGTCCCAACCCCTCTTACAAGATCTTTTTCACGGCAATGAACTACATATTTCGCTTCAAGAGACTCCGATTTCGAAAGCTCCCTGTTTTGTGCCTCTGATGAAAGGCCCCATACAACAACTGCCTTCCTTAAGGTCATATTCATTACGTAGTATTTCGACATCCACGTCAAAAAGTACATGTTACGTGACAACGCCAACGCTACCAGTAAACAAATTCCATGCGCCAGAGTATGAATGCATAGGAAGAGCTAAAATTCGACCGACTATAAAGTAATCACTGCAAAATTACCGACAAGGGCAGAATAAATGATAATTGAACACTGATTCCTCTCAATGACCGCTTTTGAGCCCTATTAACTAAGCATGCTTGGGGTACGAATGTCAATAATATACACCAAAATATCGCTGCGTGTACAGTCATAAGGAAAAACGAGGGGCTTATACCGACCCTATCATCCTGATAAAANAAAATGAAAAACAACTTGATCAATATGCATAAAAATAAAAGTCCGAAACTAACCGTCCATCGAATGGCTTGCTCATGAAACCCCATTTCATTCCAGCTGGAAATCCAGCACCTCCTCTTCCACGTAGACCAGATTTACGCACTTCATTAATGATCCATTCTGATCCTTTGAGAATGATCTCCTTCGTCTTATACCAGTCACCCTATACAGAAAGGAAAATTCACAAAAACGACTTTCATAGGAAAATCTGGTACTTGGAATACTCACACGAGCCAAAGCGCCCTTCAAACGATAGTCATGGCGACCATAAAGATTAGTGAATATGCGATCAGTATCCTTAAGGTTTCCGAATGTGGTCTTTTCGGGTTTGGCTGGTTGAGCTGGAGCAGCTGTAGCAGCTCCACGAATAGCTGCTATTCGACAAACTAGAAAACGCATAGAATATCAGTACGAATTGCTCCCAAAAAACTTCAAGAAAAATCCAGGGGAATCTAGAAGCTTACCTGATCCAAAACCTCGACCTCCCAAGATAATAGGAGACGCCATATTTGCAGCCTCTGAAGAAGCCAAATAATTCAAGGCAAGCAACTTCAACAAAGTGTACACGTCTACTCACGGATTACTCGAAAAGAGAAGTAAAGTTTCCAAGAGTAAATGGATGGAAAAAAGTTAATACTTAAATGAGTAGAAAAGTAAAGAGAATGAGACTGAGGGAGACCGGAAAATGTCCTGTGCACGTTTCTCACTGTTTTCACGAAGAGTACCTGAATTCAGTAGGTCTCGGAGACGTCTGGGCTTCAAGTAAATCCATCGCTAAATACTTGAAAGTTGCGAAAGCAAAAAGTACAAAAGCAACTGAGACTGAATTACTGAGGTCTGGTTTTCCACGCAAGATCACCATCCACATTACACTTCACCACACGCCTCAACAACACAAGCCTGCGTGACATCTCGTCCACCATCTAGTCCGACTCCACCCGCATTAAAACTCGAAGAAGTACCGTACCATATGATCGAGATGACTGAATCACATCGAAATTGTTTGCGATGCAGAATCTCAGATAACGTCGCATTTCTTTATGAGCGAGCGATGGTAAAAAAAACTATTCGACTTATTCCATTTTCCAGTTGCATTTGTAACCCTAAAGCTTGATAGCAAAGAAAATCTAGGTGTGAAACATCCTTGACCACCCTGCAAAGTATTACTGCAGTATCGACCGTAATCGCCCCTTCAACGTTGGGAATTCCAAGGAAACTTGGAAATGACGTGCAAAACATCGAAGAAGATAACATCCACGTTCAAATCACTCTTACTACAACGCACCACTGATTCGCCGAGGGAAACGAGCAACAGAGGAGAGTGACGACGAGTACAGAACACAGCGAGAGTCGGCAAGAGCTGGACGAGTTCGCGCTCCGATCGATTCCGACTTTTGCAACCCGGCTACTGCTGAAACCTACTAACATCCTCATTTCTAACAAACAAAGGAGTACTAACAACAGGTAAGATATTGTATATGTTACCTTTTACATAGTATGACTCATATCTGCTTGCATTTTTCGATACAGAAGTTTCGAAAATCGAAGCCAAGTAGAAATGTCTCCATCATGTTTCATTTCCTTCTTTCAAAAGTTACTTGTTACTACCTACATATACAGTTCGACTTGCTACGATCTACCCATCTTTTCTTGGCATGTTATCAGTCGATCGATAAACTCCTTCGGCTTCTCAACCGAGCTCGACCCGTAAAGTTACGAAATACACCGCGACTGTGTTTTGCTTATCATTAAATACTTTCATTTTTTATACCAAAATTCCTGTAGTATTTTGAACAAAAGATATTATTTATTACCGGCTCAGCTGTTGTTCCTTCGGTACTATAAATGATTGCCATATTTTTTTATTTTACTCACTCCACAACATTTTTTCATCACGATTCATTACAACATAGGAACTCCGTCGCAAAAATTTCTTGGGGAATCCCTGACTTTCGGAGTGAATTTCAGCCCATTTAATTAAATAACATTCAAATAGTTAACAGATTAGTATAGTAAAATCTATCTTCATTAGATCAAGAGAGGAGAAGCTATGTTAAATAAAGCTACCTTTTGCTAACTAAAATGTCAAACTCATCGAAACGGTTTACAGTACACCCGATAATCGACTTAAGTCCCATACTCACGATCAATCCTTGTTGTTAAGTAGAAGGAGAATGAAATATTTCAAGATCATGTCATTATGAATCACAGGGACAAAAGCAATATCGCAGTTCAAAAGACAACAGTAGAGGGGATAAGGAAGAATGTAGGACTAAAAGCGATTGATTTCTGCCTTCAAAAAGTTAAAACGTTAGAGAAAAATTTAGCCTTTTTTCTAGATAGTCAATTTCCTGAAAAGTTGTCGTAGTTGCTAAAAATGAGTCAGTAGTTTACAATGAAAAGCATGCTTTTTATAAGAGTGGGTGCACGTGCAAATCTATCGATGAATTCAATCGATTGCAACTGCAACATTCACATTACAGTTTTTGAACATGCGTTCCGTGTGTTCAGTAGTCAATAAATTCCTAAAATATGCAGAGTATAATCTAAATTTGGCCCAAAACCTTCACATAACATTTCTGAAGTTTTCTGGAATTTTTCTGGTGCTATACCCCATGCAGATTGTGAAGGGAAGTTTTTCGATTTATGAACTTTGATAAGAATAGATTAGATTAGAACGACGGTCCTCAAAAGGCAGAAGGTAATGCGATCTAGGAATGAAAAATAATTTTTCTATACTCCTGTTAACATTCATTATATTTCTCCACCTTAAGTGAAATCAGCAATGATTCTATGGCTCGATCAGAAAGTACATATCCAAGTAACATTTTTCGATGGAACAACAGTTTCAGGAAAAAGATTATTATTTATCCTAATCTAACCTCCTTGTTATATCTCCGTTTTAAAATACTCGAGTTGGACTTCAATAAAAATAGGGCAGTTCTCAAACTTGAACTGCAAAGTAATCAACCCAATATCGCTTACTTTGCTGCTAGAAACTTTGAGAACTTCTCTTTCTTTCTGTTTTATTTCTTTATTTTCTCTTTTATCGATGTCACATGAAACATTCTTCATTGACCCAACGGGAAGATATTATCTGGTGCAGCTAAGGCGACATGAAACAGTAGGGAATAGACATGTGAAACTGGATACAAGAGAATATAAGTGCTATTTGCCTTCAAAATGCCTTAGAATTACGACGGTTCCGGTATACTGGTGGTGGTAGGACCACGTGCACGGGGGCGCTGCGCGCCGCCTTTAATCTGCGTTCCCAATTCTGCTAGCCGCTGGAAACGATTGTAGGGAACGGGATGTCAAAGTAATTTCGTGCTAAATGAAATTCACAACCATGAATTGTTAAAAAGAGTATCATCTTAAAGAGAGCAGAAAGTAAAGGGAGGTGGGAAAAATTACGGGGAATGGGACTAAGCATAAACTCTCCGACAAATTTGTACATACTACAAGTCATGGATAACAATCATAAAGCAAAAAATGCCCACAGCACAATAAGATGCTCCATCGCGCGCCAAAGCTTTTCGCCTCAAAACGATTTGCACATTGCTTGCGCATGAGGTCCCGGTTGGAGGGGAGAGAGGGGAAACTCGCTCCCGCCTTCCGGTCGACTATAGACAAATAATGGTGAGTGATCCTTGCGCCTTGTCTTCTGTTCTACATTCTGCGCGAGAACTCCTATTCAGTGAGCAAGGTGGGTAAATAGGTTATGCTTATTGTAGTGCAAAATATTCAGCTTTCTTCTTTCCTTAAAACCAAGTGACCCTACTTCAATAGTCTTACCCTGGTAACCAGTTGCTTGATAACATTTGCTACAGTGCAGTGGCAATTCGATGCACAGACCACAATTCTCGATTAACTGGCTCACGATAGCGAGCTGGCAAGGATTGTTGGGGGGACGGTACATTCGTGCGATTCGGGCTGCGCGCGGCACAGTGCGCGACGAAATTAGTGGCGATTCGAACGACTCTGGCTCCTTTTTTTGGGGAACAAATGTGAAGTGGAGTAGATTAGTATGGTCATGACCCTATTAATCTACTATACTTCAAATTTGGGACCCAATAATAAGCGCCAATGTCGTCAGAATCGCTATGGATTTCGCCGCGCAATTTGCCGCGCGCAGCCCGAATCGCACGAATGTACACACACCCGGATTGTTGCGCGCGCGAGTGAGGCACAGCCTGCAAAGCTCGGGGCTCCCAGACGTTCGCTGAGTATAAATGAGATGCGGACGCATAGTTGTATAAGTGTGTGAAAGTGCAAAATAGGCGAGAAGAGTGATCACTCAAATAGAGAAGAGATCGGAGAGTGCATTTTGTTTCTAGAACTATTTGTAGCCAAAAAGTCTGGCTACTTATACACATAATCCTGTTTCACATAAAACTGAAGCAGGATTATTGCGTATGAGTAGTCATTCAAATTGCTAGCAGTAAACCCCATACTTTGATAATTTCTCAGAATAAAAATAAAATGTTTATGATAGCATTGAAGGCTGTAGTGTCGTAGTAGAGTTGCTGCTTCATTGGAAAAAGTTGCATACTAGTAATTATAAGAAACAACAACTGGCGCTGATGTCTTTCCTTTCGGGCCTAGTAATGAAAAGCCAAATCTAGAAGGGAAATTTTTATGTTATGGCTGCCCCATAAACATTATTTCAAATTCAAATTCCTGCCGTCAAAAATTCATTTCACGGACGTTTAATAAAACTACTCGATGCCGATAAAATAGTGAGGACCAATTAGGCGTTTAGACCGGGGCCAAGAAAAAACAAGTAGCTATCTATGAAATTAACGAAAACACGAAACAAGTAAGTAAAAGGAGAACAATCAGCAAATCTGTACTACCGCATGTTGCTGAGCGGGGGCGCCTTTGCAGTGATTGATCAGCTATTGATTTTTGAATCAGTGAATTTTACAGAATCATTAACAGGTAGTGGTTTTTGAAGCGATATTTTAGGCATAAAAGTAGGCTGGATGAAAATTCTAAGGTGGAGCAATGTATAACAGCAAATATTTTTCACTTATTGAATTGAAACATTAAAGCCAAGCAAATTGAGAGTGCGAGGTTGATCTCCCACACCAATGGTCACCAAGTTTGCCAATGGGAATCTCGCTCTCCAGTTGGTATTCGGGCGACCCACGGCCAAGGTCACTCCTTCCTTTTTTTTGGTAACATTCTCCAGTATTCAAACCGTCATACTACACTGCTATTCTCCGTTTCTTTGGTGTTGAGTACTTATTTGTCCTTCCTCTCTTCGTAGTACAGTGATTTACGCAAGTTTATGATCAATACAAGTCAATAATCTCCAGTATTTCATAGGGAGTATGATGGATTTTTATTTGCAGAATTTCCTAGTATGGCAGCAATGGCTGTTGCTCAATCAGCTGGACACGAAGAATCTGATGATTCCCTTTATCCGATTGCCGTCCTCATCGACGAACTGCGAAATGAAGATGTACACTTGCGATTGAACAGCATCCGTAAACTCTCGACCATTGCACTTGCACTTGGTGTTGAACGTACTCGTAATGAGCTTATCCAGTTCCTAACAGGTTAGTTTTCATGCTACTTGTTAATGGCTGTATGGAAGGCACCCTTTATTTTACGTCTCAAGAAAACACCCACAAGCGTTACATGGCTTACGCATTCGCTTTCATTTTTAAGCTATAGGAGGTTCAATTTGAGGTAGGGTAGCTTCAAAGGGTAGAAATATTGGAAAGAATTGATTGAGAAACCCGTGATGATAGCTCAACTTGACCGTTGTTGCACGGCTGGCGCATGTATCGATTGATGTGCACGGTGTTTGCGGCACGAAACAGCGTCGCTCCGGGGAAGTATAGTCTGCATAGAAAACCGATCCCTAAAATTAACCGATACTTATATTTCCCTTCTGAATGTTGACGAGAGTTCCTTATCTCGTTTATATGTATTTTTATTTAGACACGATTTACGATGAAGATGAAGTTTTACTAATCCTTGCTGATCAACTCGGAAATTTCACTCCACTTGTGAGTACTCTTTTGCATTCATGATCGACTATAAATAGGGCTTAATTCTGCTAATTTAGGTGGGTGGACCCGACTATGTTCACTGTTTGCTACCACCGCTTGAAAACCTGGCTACTGTTGAAGAAACGGTTGTCAGAGATAAGGCGGTTGAAAGTTTACGGAAAATCGCTGACAAGCACAGCACAGCAGCCCTAGAGGAGTACTTCATACCGATGCTCAAACGCCTAGCAACAGGTATAGAATATCTAAAAGTCAACTCATACCTGTTAACAAAGTAAATTTTGAAAGTTAAGGCGACTGGTTCACGTCACGCACATCGGCATGTGGGCTATTCAGCGTTGCCTACCCAAGAGTTAGCCCGGCAATCAAGGCTGAGTTGAGAAGGTAAGTTAGTTGTTGTAAGATAGGAAAAGAAGATTCTAAACATCATGTTAACCTCATGTTCTTGGCGTGATGCCTTTTGTTTGCTTGTTTATGGGGCTGCACAGTTTTTCCTTGTACGGTGGTTCAAAACCGAATATACTCCGGACGATTTCAGCCTGTTCCGTCAGATGTGTCGCGACGATACGCCAATGGTTCGTCGTGCAGCTGCTGCAAAACTCGGAGATTTCGCAAAGGTATTTGTAATTTGTTATTTTCAATTATCTGTTTATAGGTAGTTAGTATACTATTTATCGTAATATTAGCAACAAGGTTCAAGTTTTTCATTAGTAACTTTATTTTCATTTCCAAATTTTAATTTTCATACAGTTGAATGGCCAAATTATTGATTTGCGCGCGAAACTGTACGGCAACTTCGCTCCGTTGCTAAAAACCACTAGTTCGACCCTTCGGATTACTGGGATCAGCTCGTTCTAATTAAATCCCTTCATTTCGATGTCCTGGAAACACTTGAAAGTTACATAACGAAAAAAAAAACACTGAACCATGTAATCGCGACACGAGTACTGCGAACTGAACTTGCCGCGCGCGACAAACTGCTCGTCGCGCCGCCCGCATGCGTGCCCGTCCGGACTTTCCGCACTTTTAAAAAGCTTAAATGCAAGTGCATGTCCGTGTTTGCGTGTGAGCCATGTCTGTAACTGTGAGTAATCATTCAGTCATATTTTGTCATTTCTAGTGTATTCAGTAGGTGTGTTAATTAAATTTACGTTGATTTCAGGTATTTGAGCGTGACTACCTCGTCGACGAGCTTCACGCCATGTTCTGCGACTTGGCAGTAGATGAGCAGGTTGGAATGTAGAAGCGCATTTCAAAATTATCCCGAAATACCAAAACAACGTTTTTTCTAGGATTCTGTTCGCCTGCTGGCTGTTGAAGGCTGCATCGCAATGGCAGGCCTGCTGTCGGAGGAAAGCCGCAGGGATCTCGTCCGTCCAGTACTGATGGGTCTTATCGATGACAAGAGCTGGCGTGTACGATTCATGGTAGCGGAGAAGTTGACCGAGGTATCCCTTGATTCGGTAGTGATAGGGGATTGATCTGGAGAGTCAAACTCATGCACTTCATCCGTTTACAGATCCAAGAAGCTATTGGTGAAGACATGACCATGTCTGAGCTGGTTCCTGCATTTACCAACCTATTGAAAGACCCTGAAGGAGAAGTTCGTGGCGCAGCAGCTCAGAAACTGAACAGTACGTCACTTACATCTACTTGAGTTCTTCTCCTGAAGCTGAGGGTAACCCGTTCCAGCTTTCTGCGCTAATCTCAAGAAAAGCACACGAGAGTCGGCTATCCTCAACAATATTCTCCCAGTCGTAAAGGAATTGGTGACCGATCCAAATCAGGTCCGTTTTTCGAATTAACTCCTGTTTTGTAACGGATTTCTGAAGGTTGTTGTCCCGAATTGTTGGTTTATTGTTGCAGCACGTGAAGACCGAGCTGGCTGGAGTGATCATGGGCTTGGCACCACTGGTCGGTAAGGAGAACACCATTTCGCAGCTTCTGCCCATTTACATGCAGTTGCTGAAGGATAGTACTGCCGAAGTCCGCCTCAACATCATCAGTAGCCTCGACAAGGTTTGTTTTGAAGTTTCAAGGTGTACAGGGGTTTACCGGTAAGCTTGAACTATTTCCAGGTCAACGATGTCATCGGTGCATCGCAGCTTTCACAGTCACTCCTGCCAGCAATCGTTGAACTTGCTGAGGATGGAAAGTGGCGCGTCAGACTGGCCATCGTCCAGTTCATGCCTCTTCTTGCAGCACAGCTCGTAAGTTCCCTCATGTTAGCCATTTTAATTTGACAGACTAACCGGCTGGTGTTCAGGGACAAGCGTTCTTTGATGAGAAGATGCTCCCGCTTTGTCTGAATTGGCTTTGTGATCATGGTAAGCGCCCAGTTTCCCGTATAACTCCCTTAACTAATTTTGGTCTGTTACAGTTTATGCAATCCGCGAAGCTGCTACGGCTATACTCACTGAGCTCGCTGGAAAGTTCGGTGGCGAGTGGGCAACGAAGAATATCATGCCGAAAGTGCTCACCTTGTCCAAGGTAAGTCGTCGGTCCGAGTCGAAACTAATCTACTCATTCACAAAAGTAAATAGTATTACAGGATCTCAATTACCTTCATCGTATGACTTGTCTGTTTTGCCTCAATTCACTTGCCGAAGCTGTGGGACCTGAACAAACAGCTAAGGAGATCATGCCTGTGATCAAGGAGGTTGGCTATAATTCCAAAGTTACACTATTTTCTCCTTTCTCACAAGAAGGCCTTGACGTCCCTTTATTTTAGCTCAGTGAAGACAATGTGCCGAACGTACGCTTCAACGTGGCTAAGGGATTGATGAAAATTGGAAAAGTAGTGGATTCGAGGTATGTCGAACATTATATCAACCCATCTAACACACAGTATAGGTGTTTACTGTTCAACTTCATCTTGAAAACTAGTTCAATCCACCTGGAATTGTGCTACTTCGTAGAACGGCAACCATGCCATGCGATGCGTAAGCGCTGCTTCGCGAAAGTGCAGGCGATCGATCGTCTCCGTTCTTTTTTTAATCTACTCTATTACTAGTACTTCTCTTCCCGATTTTGTCAAATAAGTTTTTGTTTGGAGTTTGACCGTATCCAGGTTTTATCGATTGTTTCAGTGTCCTACAAAATGAGATCAAGCCAATTCTGATGAACTTATGCAACGATGCTGATTTTGACGTCCGGTATTTCGCCGAAGAAACAAAGAACGCCCTAGGGTTGCATTAGTGTTCTAACACTTTCATGTTCAATTTTTGTCAAGTTTTGATGTTCCCTCTGTTCCCAATAAATTTTTTTACGCTTCTCCAGCTACTATCTCAATATCCATTCAGTGATTCATCGATTATTTCTATTGACTAATGTGTTGACATTCTATTTGTCCAAAACCAAACGTACCCGGCTATAGAACTGTAATACGGAGATGTCTAGGTAAGCACGTCCCGTTGATTACTATCTAATTCATCATTTTTGATCTATTATTAACTGCATATACATATTTAAGTGTATAACATTTTGATATTACTACTCTCTGATAGGTTGATGTTACTGCTCGATACTTGACCCTATCTTAACCAGATGATGTAAATTTCGTTTCATTCTAATACGGATTTTTCGATTAACACATCTTACAACAACTTCTTTATGAATAGTAATCTATACTTTGTCATTTTGCTTATCTAATGTTGTACTGAAGTTTGAAATCAGTATCCGATTCATACTTGTAGTTACCGTACTAATTCGTGTCACGCAAAGTGTGTTACTACTCCTCACGAATAAACAGTAATAACGTCAAGGACAGTGTTGTGCAGTGTTTGTTTGGAAATGGTGCTTCCCGTTTCGTTATTTCTGTTTGGCTTGAGGTTGATTTTAAAGAAGGCCGGTTCCATTCAGTTGTTGCGAAGGGATGGTTAGTGCCGAGCAACCGAAGAAGGAGAAGACCGAGAAGGAATTGAAAAAGGAAGCCGAAAAAGCGGCCAAGCTTGCCAAGTTTGAAGAGAAACAACGGAAACTTCAAGAAAAAGCTGCTGCTGCTACGGCAAAACCAAAAGAAGTGGGTTTTAAGCAGGGCAGTTGAAATCCGAAAATGGTTTGAAGTCCCTAGGGGGAGGAGTAGCCTTCTTCACTTCGTAGATTTTTTTTCAGTATTCAAAATACATTTGTAAAATGGACATTAAGTCTTTATGTCATAAGCAGTACAAGTCGGATATTGTAATTATCCATGAAATGAGTGTAAAAGCAAAATTAGTTTAAGTAATCATGTGATTTTCTGGTTTTTGAAAGCGGTTGACAACTAAATGACTGTGTGTTTTTCTATGTACTTCAAACATCTATCTCAAATAGTAAGTACCTGTTTTTCAGAGTTAATTAAGCTTAGACCGGATATTTTAATATTTTGTGATCAATGTTCAACTGGAAGAGTAACTTTTTGTGAAAAAAGGTAAAAACATTCCCTCAAAATATACGTAATTGTTTGCATACCTTATGCTTTTTTTAAATTGCGGCTTGGACGCTGAGCAGGCATCCTTAGGAAACAATCAATATTGAACTATGGTTTTCTGTCAGTGTATTGTACCCTGATCAATAGTAATATAAAAAAGGTGGTGGATAACTAACACAGACTAGTTGTAGGAGAAAGTGGTTAAGAAAAAGGCTGCTGCGGATGTGCCGAAACCGATTGTGGGCAAAAACACTGGAGAAAAGAAAGGTAGTTATACATGATCATCACGAAATAGTAGCCAGATATCAGCAATTAAAAATATTTACAGATGTAGGCGCTGGCCTGCCGAACGTGTACGATCCGGGTTACGTTGAATCAGACTGGTACGCTTGGTGGGAGAAGGAAGGGTTCTTCAAACCAGAATATGGTCGAAAGGACGCAGCGTACGCTTCAAAACCACTTACTTGTAAGATTTTTCAGAGTAGCGCTCAACCTAGTTTCGTTATAGGGCACCAAATCCAAAAGGAAGCTTCACAATTTGCATCCCTCCACCCAACGTTACTGGTACACTTCATGTTGGTCATGCGCTAGCCACTACCATCGAGGACACACTAACAAGATGGTTTGTAATGGTCCGTAATTGAGC